AACATGAGATATGGATCGCCATTAATCTCATTTACTGTTCAACTTTAAGTAAGGCCTTAGATGTCTAGCTCTCAACGAATAAGAGAGACAAATCCCATCTCGACTATATATGCTCACCAATGTAGTTCATGTCATACCCAATGATGGCCCATATGACCACCCTTTTACGGAACAACGTTTAGCCATGTCAAAGCACAACAATTCCTACACTTCAAGTACCAAAATATGTATCTCAGGTCTAAGAATACAAAGATACAACCTTGATCAAAACATCACTCTTGACTACGATCCATAAAGTGGTTTTGATGCGGGTCAAGTCCAATACTTATTCTCCTAATCAAGTATCTATGAAGTTGGTAGCATCTCTTGCTATTCTCATCTCCATGAGAATCCACCAATCCACTCATATTAGTCTTACCTCACAGATGCTCCCACAACTATGAACGACTATGGAAATTTAGAATAACCTAGTTATTTAAGGATTTAAACATGCTAACATAGAACACAACAATTATTTAATGAATGACTCATATCCAATACCTTAACTCATTACAATATATGTTGTCTTTATTGTTCCAATATCCAAATACTAAATTTCAATCAATACACCTACTTATATCGACAAGTCCCTATAGCACTAGCTTGACTTTCATGCTTTAGCTAATGTTGGAGCTTTGTCAAGTAGATTTGACAAACTTTGATTTGTATAAACTTTGTGAATACAAACATTTTCAGTTTTATATATACAACTCATATAAAAAGAAAAACAAATGAAAATGTATTACATGCTTAAATATGACTTAGATACCAATACTTGCGTAATGGGATTACTCATAGTCATTAGGGGTGTTCATGGAGCGGTTCAGTTCAGATATTCATAAAATTGTGAACCGTAACCACGGGGCGGATATCTAATGTTCACTAACCGAAACAGAACCCGAACCGAATTGTGTAAAAACCCGAACCGGACCGAATCGTTTGAAGGCGGGTAACCACGGTTCGGTTTACGGGTACCCACTAAATATAATAAAACAAAAATATATAAAAAAAATACAAACTACCAATATGTCATCATAGAAATAAGAAAACTTGTTGAAGTTCAAATTATACATTATAATTTATATAATAACTATAATAATAAAATTAACCATAAACATGATGAATATAAAAACAATTTCTCAATTTCAGCAATAACAATACACGCACACAGAAAACATATACCATACAGTTTATAAGAAAACATACAGACACACAATTTATGAAGCAGATATAAGCGATAATAGGGAATATGACTTATTAAGGTAATTAACTTTTCGGTTTGTTCACATCTGGGTAACTATCTTTTTTTTGTACACATCTAGATAACAAACTTGTTGGAGGTGTTCACATATGACCATTATGACATGTTGTAGCAGGTTACATCCTAGATGTGAACACTTTTAACAAGTTCGTTACCTAGATGTGTACAAAAAAAATAGTTACCCAAATATGAATAGAACGAAAAGTAAGAGTAAATTACACGAATGGTCCCTGTGGTTTGGGGCAATTTGTGTTTTTGGTCCCTAACTTATTTTTTTAACTTGGATGGTCTCTACTGTTTAGTTTTGATGCGTGTTTGGTCTCTGTCTTACCTAAAAATATTATTGTGCCCTTATTAATTTATTTTTTTTTAAATTAAATTTTCTCAAATGTGGTTTCAGGTTTACGGTGAGGAGATACATATATGTGGGGTCTATTAATATTTTTTAAATATATAAAAAATAAATACATAAATAATAAAATTAATTAAAAATTAAATAATAAGGGCACAATAGTCTTTTTAGGTAAGACAGGGACCAAACGCGCAACAAAAATTAACAGTAGGGACCATCCGAGTTAAAAAAAAATAAGTTAGGGACCAAAAACATAAATTCCCCCAAAGCACAGGGACCATTCGTGTAATTTACTCGTACTTTTCGTATTGTTCATATTTGTGTAACTATTTTTTTTGTACACATCTAGGTAACAAACTTGTTAAAAGTGTTCACATCTAAGATGTAACCTACTACAGCCGGTCATAATGGTCATATGTGAACACTTTCAACAAGTTTGTTACCTAGATGTGTACAAAAAAAATAGTTACCTACATGTGAACAAACCGAAAAGTTAATTACTTTAATAAGTCATATTCCCGTGATAATAATCTAAATTTCTACAGTAATAGACAAATACCATAGACATAAAACTTGCATGTTAGATAAGAAAACATATATTGTATCATCCAGTTTCTTATCCGCGGATATCGAAATATCCAAACCGTAACCGACCCATTGATAGTCGGTTTTTTTGGTTTCGGTTTTTTTTCGGTTTCGGTTTTTTTCGGTTCGGATTTTTCTGGTTTCGGATTGGCCGGATTGGCTCGGTTTTCCGGTTTTGTGGTTTTTTAGCACACCCATAATAGTCATACTGAACCATACATTAAGCTTTTTAGCATGTGGTTCTCCAAACCACAATGTATTCTAACTCTGATCTGTAACTGTAATTAAAACTTATATGGAAAATTTGTCCATGTATCTTTCTCTTAATTCATAATGAAGACACGTCTGATTGGGATTAAGAATCATCTCAATCTATTTGAAAAGTTAGCACGTGTGTAACCACTTTAAACATAACTTTCTTTCAAAAATTCCGTATATTTGGAATATTTATCTAGTTCTCGCAAGTACTTTAGAATGTTCCTATAAGTCACACAATGACTTGTTCTCGGATTATATTGGTATCATTTGACATGCTCTAAGCATACGACTCATTAGGGTTTCCTTCTCAGTTGCCAACACGCCGAGTTGGTTCATTAATATCCATGGCCAAAAGTCATCTCAACACGCCGAGTTAAGGCTTCCAACTCGCCGAGTGTCCAAGGAAAAACATGCTTAAAGAATAAATCTCATACATGGGGATCGGGATGTTACAGGGCCCAATTTGGAAGATTGGGCCATGAATTGGGCTTTAGGATTTGGGCCTTTTGAATAGTTAAGTTGGGCCTTGGCTTTGGGCTGAGTTAGATAAAGGGTAAAATGGTCTTTTACCCTAATTATGGGCCAAATACCTTAGACTCTTGGTTATGGGTCGGAATCAAATTAATAATCGGATGTTATTGATTTTGATAGCGCGGGGGATTTCCCAAGCCAACAGTCAGAGATTCATTCAAGTAATTCAGCAGCTAGAGGTGAGTTCCTCACTGTGTTTAGACTTTAGCGAGTTGAAGGCACCAATGTCGGCCCATGGTTTATTATGTTAGGATGCTAGATGTCTTCATGACTCTTGCATGTGTTATGTGCTTGTATGCTTACCGGGCGAGGCCAAACGACTATTATGTATGCTATTATCTTTGTAATTATCGTATGTGTAGTATGATTATATGTTTATATGTTATATGTATACCGGGCAGGGTCTGATGCCCAGCGGGGCCTGATGACTAACAGATCTGTATACCGAGCGGGGCTCGATGTCGGGCGGGGCCCATTATGTGTTTATTATGTATGGTATGTGGTATTTTGAGGAACTCATTAAGCTTTGTGCTTACATTTTTCAGTTTATGTTTCAGGTACTTCTGGTTCGAAGGGGGAGAGCCCAAGATGATTGCAGAGCACACACCACCTTATTCCATATTTTGTGATTTTTACTCAGATGTTTTATGAGGTATTGATACACTTTGTTCCACCTTAGTTTCATGATGATGTTTTGGATTATAGTTTTATTAATTTAAAAATGAAAATTTTTGGTCTAAATTTTAGGACGTTACATTTTCATTCTCCAAAACTGTCTATAATCCATGGAGGAAATTCAGGGGGTGTCCAAACTATCAGGTAATATCAAGTTTCCTACTTCTTTTTATGGTTTTGATTGAACCGGTATGAAGAAGTGGTTGTTGTGTAGGAATCCAAAGAATAATGTGATTTTTTATGGCTTAATCCACCACTGCCAAACATTTACTACAAGGAAACTATATGGAAGTTCCACATGGATTTGGAGGAGGCTAAGAACAATAAAGCATTTGGAATGGGGATTTTGAAGCTTTCGGAGGAGGCCAAGAACAAAAAATCAGTTCAAGTGGATATTTTAAACATGTTGAAGGTGGTGCTACTTATGATGGTCATGCTTTTGGTGGTGGTGATTGTGATGAGGTTTATGGTTCACAGTGTTGTGGTTAAAGCACTGTGAAATTGTGGGCATTAGTTAGCTTCAGGTGGAATGGTAGTAGTAGTAGTTAGGTGTATGGGTATTTTGGTCAAGTTAGATAGTAATTTGATGCATGCGTTATGTATGATAATTTTTTGGTGTTGTAAGATATGACAATGATAACACCTTATTATGTATTAATGATAACAATGTATTATATTTTAGTAATGGCAATACCTTTAACACATACATATGTATAAAAATGATTAAATCTTGAAAATTTAATAGCAACCTACTCAACATACTGACCAAAACATGGAAGGCAACAACAATTATAGTGATCAAGGCACATATATTTCTAACGTAACAATCATACCATGTAGTTTACAAAGCTTCCTAATTGTCAATGTCAGTTAACAGCCCAAATAGGGGAATGTACTTTACAAAGCTTCCCACAAACCACTACCATACCAAGTAACCCAGTTAGAACGAAACTTCCAATTCTACCAAACATTATGGACAAGAATTGGAAGCTTGTTACTAAAAGACAAGTGTACCAAAAGTAGTTGTTTACAAAAAGGGAAACCTATTTACTAATGCCCATTCTACCCATTTAACCCTTAAACACAACTTCTTAATCTAAAACCCAAGGGGTTTTGGTAGAGCCACCACCATCAGTATCTTGGACCATTTTCCTGAGCTTCAGTTTCCTAATTCTTTTAGAAGGAGTCCTCTTTTCTCCCAATGGATATTGTAAGAACCAAAACCCAAGGGTACCACTCTTGCTCCAACCTACCTCTCTCTATCTATCTTTCTCTCTCTCTCTCTCTCCCTCTCTCTCTCTATCTCTCTCTCTCTTCAACTTCTGCTTCCTCAACCTCTCTTCCATTAACTTCTTCTTCCTCAGCCTCTCCTTCTTGAACTTCTCCTTCCTTAGCCTCTCTTTCTTCACTCTCTCTTTCCTCAGCCTCTCTTTCTTCAATCTCTCTTTCCTGAACATCTCTTTTCTGAACATATCTTTCCTCAACATCTATTTCCTCGACTTCTCTATAAACCTACAATATGGCAGTCTAGTTAGTAAATCTACAATATGAAAGCCAAAAAATAGTGTAACAACACATAGCTCTTTCATAGCAGCCACTACATCAACATGTGTATATCCAGACTATAGCAACTCCTTTAAAGTTAGTCTTTCATTCACCTTCACCTCATTGCCATTTTCTTGTTCCTGAACATCCTCCTTTTCCTGACTCATAGGTTGTTTACCATGAGGTGTATGGGCAAAATGATCATCAAAAGCCTCATCACAGCTTAGGGACACATCCTCCTTTTCTTGACTCGTAGTTGGCTTGCCATTAGTTGTTTTCATTGGTGTTTTGTTCCTTGATCCAGAAACCTTAGTTTTCCCTCCTCTCCTTTCCATCAGCTTAGTCCTTTTCATAGGAGTAACAGTACGACCACCAGGAGGTGCACCATACTGATCACCAGATTCTGAAATAGTAGGAGCACCATCCCTTCTTGGTATAGCAGGCCCAACTAGAGGGAATTGGTCAAAGATAGGTTAGCCTCCCCCACCTTTCCTAGGTCTTCCAATCTTATTTTTTGGGACAGGGGCTTAGGTACCTCATCATTTGTGCATGAAATCTTATTATGTCCAAGCTGTTGGCACTTTCCACACCTCACATTCCTAGGCACCTTTAACCTTTATGAGGGTTATTTGGCATCTTATGATTCAGATGCATGATTCACTCTCTGTAGTTTGGGTCTTCCACACATCCTTCTAATTGGGGATGGTAAGGGTTTAATAAACTCAGTCCTTGGCCAAAAGTTGCTTCCACCTACAGGTTGTATGTTCTGCATATATGTTGCAACATATTTGTCCTTGTGGAACCAAGAAGAAAGGAACTGAATTGGATCTTTATTGATATAGTTTATTACAACTTGACTATGAACACATGGTATGCCAGACAACAACCACAAGTTGTCGGTGCAAGTGTGATTAGCTAAATCAACCTTGTATCCATTATAGCCATACCTTGTCTCAAACACATCACCTCCACTTGGAACCATTGTCCACAACCTACACACAAAACAAAAAAATTACACATATAAACAATAAATACATAATACATTTGGATACATGCCCATAAAAACTAAAATTGCCTCATATCTTTCCCAAATTCATCAATCTTCAGTTGTATGTTAGTCCTACAAATACCCCTTGACTTGGATACCTCTTGAACTTGATGATAAAATCTTTTCATAAGGAGAATCCTTATTTCCTCAAGCATTGTAAGTAGAAGCTTCTTCCTTATTTCTTTGATCATGCCATTGAAACATTATGAGATCCCATTCTTTACTACTTCACAAGCATACCCATGAGAAAAGAAGGCTCTGCACCAGGTTTCAGGTTTCCTTGTCATAAGATAGGTGTACCTTGTTTATGTTATATTCTTTATCTTCTCCATTGTAGCAAGAAAGTCCCCTTCCACTATACTCATAGCAGCTTCCCAAAACAAATTCTTCAGCTCCAACCCTGTGTATTTCTTCCTAAAGTTTGAAAAGATGTGTCTAGCATATTTTTTGTGCTCAACATCGGAGAGTAGGTCTGCCACAGCCTGTATGTCACACCCCCAAACTAGAACGGCGGAAAGATTCGGGGGTGGAGGACTTCGGGTATAGTATCACAGCAATTCATAATAGTAATCAAAGTACAACAACAACCATTGTATTTACAAAGTTATAAGTTTTACAACTGTGTTCAAAACATAATGTTCATAACACTAAAAGAATAAGTTCAAAAGACATAAGTATAAAGAGCTCCATCTTCTCAAAAAGCGGTGGTGTACATGTATTACTGTTTTCCTGAGAATACAAGTAGTTTTGGAAAAGTGTCAAAAATTAAGTTGGTGAGTTGATAAGCATGTTTATATCTCAAATCCGTTTCTCGTTCTTTAATAAAGTAAATACATTTTTCCCAGAAAATCCTATATTTTCTGATGTATTATACGGTAAGCAAAAGGGTGAAAGTTTCTGGTTCTTAAGTAGTATATTGTATTATAGTTTACATAAAACCATAAAGTAAAGACATTTTCCTATACGAAAATAGTATTTCCGTATCTAGACTGGTAAAATATTGTATTATAGTTTTATAAAGATAAAAACTATGTGAAGTTTTACTTATTCATACACTAATCACTTTATTCAATATCAAAATGTGAGTTAGCATAACCATACTTGGTGACCAAGGATCGCCTGAACACGACTTTCTTCAGGTGTCACAATAGGTAGGACATTTGTCACCACATGTCTGCCGATCTAGCTGTTGCAAGCAGCTCTGGTGCGGGATTGCCAGTCCCGTATAGATCTATACACAAGTGTCGCGCTCTCCCTTAAAGAGACTCTGGTTATAATTTCAGGACTTTTGATATACTTACTTAAAAGTATATAAAGGTTGCCTCACAAATGCTATATTGATGATTATGTATAGAATATTGACAAGTTACTAGGTAATAAATACTCAATAGGTAAGTTTCATAAACTATATAAGATATAGTTTATATGGTTGTTTTCTGAAGAATGTTTTCTACTCGTTTTCCGTTAAGTACTCTATTTGATTTCTGTTAAGTACCAATGAATGAGTTCTCTAAACTATATCTATTATAGTTTAACTGTGGTAAGAATCGGTAGTACTGTTATTTCAGGAAGTTCACTGTTTGTACCAAATAGTACCAAACAGTTAGAAAACCATTTTATATTTATATAAACGTAATATTTATATAATTGTGATTAATTAGACCTTCGATTATAGAACATTACCCCAAGCCCACAACCAAACAAGGAACAGGAAATGATGTCAAATTATATATTCTAAATCTTTTGAATCCAAATTATATAATTTACACATATATAAATATGTAAGTTTTGATAATTCTAACAATTTAAAAACTTTAAAAACATTTAAAAGCATTTTAGATATTAACACAATTTTCATTATGTTCAACAGGTATTCCCCCCCCCCCCCTAAAACAGTTAAAAAATCATGAAAATGTAGGGGTATGAACTCACCTTTTGTGAGTGAATTGGATGAAAGATCGATATAGGATGCTTGGTATGCCAAGTGAAGTCCCGATCTCAAATGGATCCTATTTAGCATATATTAACATATATTTAGCATATATATATATATATATATGTATATATATATATATATATATATATATATATATGTATGAAATTAGGGCCTATAATAGTTAATATGTAAAGGAAACATCCTTAGGAACTGGGATACACTTACAATAAAGTGTTAGAACCGAAAATGAAGAGCTGAAAGATGATCACAGCTACACAAAGAGGGGTTCACGGCCCTTGTTGTGTTCACGGTCCAAGAACACTTGAAGTGTTCACGGCCCAAATGATGAATGTATGAAGGGTTCACGACCAAGATGAAGGGTTCACGGCCAGAACTTATTGAAGATCTTGAAGACTTTGATGAAAAGTGGAGGATCAATAGGTGAAAGCAAGTGGTTTCCAATGAATAACAAGAAAATGGTGTGATACTTACGTTTTTGAGATGAAAGGAGACCCTTTCGTGGATGATACTTAAGAGAGAATGGGAGAATTCACGGTTGAAAGATGAGAAATGAGGAGAAAATGACTAACACTCATATATATATGCGAGGGTTCACGGTCCGAAGGGTTCACGGCCGTGAACCTCGTTTGCGGTCCGAAGGCGGTTGTGGCCGAGAAGACGTTCACGGTCCAAGGGTTTGCGGCCCTCGTTCACGGCTGAAGTCTGCTTGTTCTCGGTTGCGAGGCTGCTGTCCGAAGGGAAAGAAATAATGGTCTTCGGACTTCAAGTTTTCACCTCTTAAACATATAATACCTTGAATATCAGGTGTAAATACTTATAAAATATTAATCTAACCCATTTAAAATAGAATAAGATTTAAGTTGACTTTAGTTGACCCAAGTTTGACTTTGATTAACTAGGTTTGACTTTACAAGAAGAAAATAACGGGATGTTACATTATCCCCCAGTTAGAAGGAATTTCGTCCCGAAATTTAAGATTATACGATTACAGAAGACTAGGGAAAGAGATGGGGATACTTCTGTTTCATCTGATCTTCTCGCTCCCAAGTGAATTCAGGTCCTCGTTTTGCATTCCAACGAACCTTCACTATCGGGATACGACTTTGTTTAGTTCTCTTTACTTCCCTGTCTAGGATCTCTACTGGTACTTCTACGAAATTGAGATTCTCGTTTATCTCGATTTCATCGAGTGGAATAACAAGAGTCTCGTCGGACAAACACTTCTTGAGATTTGAGACATGAAATACGAGATGAATGTTTTTGAGTTCATGCGGTAGATTGAGTTTGTAAGCAACCAGACCAATTCTAGCAGTGATCTGGAATGGCCCAATGTACCTTGGATTCAGTTTTCCACGTTTACCAAAACGTATCATTCCTTTCCAGGGTGAGACCTTCAATAGAACGCGGTCACCAACTTGGAATTCCAAGGGTTTTCGTCGTTTATCCGCATAAATCTTCTGTCTATCTCGAGAAGCTTTCAATCGTTCCCGGATTTGGACAATCTTTTCTACGGTTTCACGAATGATCTCAGGACCGGTTAGAGTACTATCAGGTATTTGGTTCTTTGCTAGTTGCGTATCGCCCACTTCAGCCCAACACAGAGGGGATCTGCACTTCCGGCCATAGAGAGCTTCAAAGGGTGCAACTTTGATGCTAGTGTGATAGCTACTGTTGTAGGAGAATTCAACAGGTGGTAAATGGGTATCCTAAGTTTTACCAAAATCTATCACACAGGCTCTTAACATGTCTTCCAACGTTTGAATTGTTCTCTCGCTTTTCCCCTCAGTCTGAGGATGATACGCTGTACTCATGTCAAGATTTGTTCCCAAGGACTTTTGCAATGTTTGCCAAAACCGCGAGGTAAATCTACTATCTCGGTCAGAGATAATAGATATTGGCACACCATGCAATCGTACTATCTCTTTAATGTACGTCCTTGTTAACTTCTCCATTTATCTATTTCTTTTATTGACAGGAAGTATGCGGATTTGGTTAATCTATCGACAATAACCCAAATGATATCATGACCACCCATTGTTCTGGGTAACTTGGTTATGAAATCCATTGTAATCCGCTCCCACTTCCACTTAGGTATTTCTGGCTGTTGCAGTAAACCTGAGGGCTTTTGATATTCTACTTTGACTTTGGCGTAAGTTAGACACTTGCCCACAAAAGTAGCTATCTCAGCTTTCATGTTTAGCCACCAATATAGTTTCTTTTGGTCCAAATACATCTTTTCTGAACCCGGGTGAACAGAGTATCGAGTTTTATGGGCTTCATTCATGAGAACATCTCTGTAGCCACCGAACTTCGGTGTCCAGATTCGATTC